GGTAATTATAGAGATTTATATCCTTTTTTTCATCCTCCTCAAAATTCAGAGCTGATATGTCCAGTTGACTTGGAAACTGACTTAGGCCTCCACATTCATTATTTTTGATAATAAAGGTGTTAGATCAGATTAATGATTTAAAACTAGTGTATGTTTGAGAGTGGAAGAAGGAGGTTTAAAATTAATTTATAGGAATATAATCCACTGGTCATTTTCACATTTCATCAAAAAATATTTTAGAGGGTGTCTCAATAGTAATTGATCACATTGAGGTGACAGAATGTACCATTACTGCTTCACTAATAGAAGAAAGTCATTAATCTCCTTTTAGGTTGAGACCTTCAGTATAACCTGACAATTTATCATGTATCAAGGAATTAACATATTTTAAAAATTATAAAGAAGCAGCATGCCAGTATACCATGGATTCAATTGATGTTGCAAATCAAATAATGTCATCCATATCAATATGTTATACAGTTCTTATTATTACCACATAGAAAAACACTTTAGCTAATCTGGTTACCCTTTTCAAAATCTCTTACTATTTAACTAGAAATGTAAATTTATTTTAACTTGTTTATGAACCATTGGGATAAATACAACTAATAATTCCATATTATATAGACAACATATAATACGTCTTTGTCTTTTAAAAACAATGTATATAACACTACAAATTTTTTAAAATCTGGGTGATTTAGAGTTTTTTGTTTTTTTGCGTTTTTTAAATAAATTAGGTATATCTGAAATGAAGTTGCCACAGCTGCCTAATCCAATGTTAGTGGAATGATTCTGTTTAATTCTTGGATTATCGTATTTCACTTGTAGAATTTTATATCAATATTTTAGTTAACAATTTATATTATCTAGTAATTAATAACTTGAATGAGTTTCCCCTTGCATTATATGCTAGTTTTCTACAGTACATAGCTATCAATTTAATTTTTTTCTACTTAGTTTGAAAATACTTTTAGAAAATAAACTCATTAAATGAACTTTATCTCTAATTAATGATGCATTGATCATATATTTATGAATAATATTTCATTTAAACCAAAATATTTTAGAGCCCTTTTTCTAGTATTAATATAAAGCTAGCATGCATAATAATAAAATTGCAATAATAATTCTAGTGATATAAATTTTAATTTGCCACTAAGTCAATTTAAAAATATTTATGTTGATTAAAGTCATACAAATGGGATTTGCAAGCCCTTCTATGCTCTTACATTCAATGCATATGCTATTGCACTATGCTGAAGGTATTGTGCTGTGCCAAATCCCTCTTTTCCTCCTGACACTGCAGTGAATAAGGATAGCACAGAAAGAGCTCAGAACCTCAGGGAGGAAGGTCCCCATCAATAAACAGCTGTATGCATTCAAGGCAGGTATACCGGAGAGGCAACTTCTTAAAATTAGAGCAGTTTTACTGCCAAGCATTAGTGCTTCTGTTTTTCACATAAGAGAAAGTAAATAAGAAATAGACTTTCCTAGAACACTCAGTTATAGCACTTGAGAAAGAGAGAAAAAAACCTTGAAGTCAATAGAATTTAGGTCACTGCTAAATTAATATTTTCTCTATGGATATTCCTCTACCAATCACTTTTATACGCACTTCACGTCTAAGTTTTTAGGGCGAAATATATTGAAAATCTCGCTTTTCCATTGAAGCTCCATTAGCAGGAACAAACTCCACTGCATCAATGTCTAAGAAACTATTTTAAAGCAAGGAGGAGATTGCGAGACCTTTGTACCCAACAACAAATCATCCTGATTTTATTTTTAAGTCATGCCTGATGCACTCTTTCCACAATGCCCCCTTGACTTCTGCCTCCCCAGAAGTTTAAATCTCTGCAAAATGTGAAGTTGGTAACCAAGACATGGGTAGCTCTACCTTAGTTTTTTCTATAATGTGTGGTGCTGAGCGTATTTTGTTCTTCATATATCCTAAATAAATTGGCCTCAGAGGTCTAAACAGGGCTTCACACACTGAACTTGCATCCCTCCTAACACCATCCGTATGTCCATTACCATATTCCTTTATTTATATCACTCATGTTTTGTATATGGGAAATAAATTGGGAGAAATTACATTTCTCTTTCTTATTGACCCAGGAACCAGAAATTATGAATATTTATTCTTTTCTTATAGAGTCAACAGCAGTGTTTGTCCTGTAATCTTTATAAAATATTGCGAAGAAGAATATGGAGGCCTTGTTTTATATATATATTGGCATTCTTAAAGTTATGAATATCCGTGCTCAATAAACTCTGTGTTCTCTCTTCTCTTTCCTACATCTCCCATGATCTTACCCACAAGAAAATAAACATGCTGTCTCCTATCTGAACAAAGGAGGATCCTTTATTTGATCTTAGAGCTACAGTCTTTTCTCCTATTCATCTTCACAGCCGAACTGTCTGAAAGTGTAGTCCCTACATTTTGTTTACTTTGTGATATGGCTTGGCTTTGTGTTCCCCACCCACATCTCACCCTGAATCGTAATAATCCCCACATGTCAAGGGAGGGACCCAGTGGGAAGTAAGTGAATCAGGGGCACGTTTTTCCCATGCTGTTCTCGTCTGATGAACTCTGATGGTTTTATAAAGGGGAGCTCCCCTGAACATGGTCTCTTGGCTGCTACCATGTAAGACGTGACTTTGCTCCCTCATTCATTTTCCAACATGCTGTGAGGCCTCCCCAGCTGTAAGGAACTGTGAGTTCATTAAACCTCTTTCCTTTATAAATTATCCAGGCTTGGGTATGTCTTTATCAGCAGGGTAAGAACAGATCAATACACTTTTCTTCAAATCAAATTCATTCTTGAACCTATAGTAATCCAGGTCTGTCCAATGTTAGCTCGGAAAATCTCATGATTCAGGAAAACCCTCATTCCTAGACAAATTGGAAAAGTTGCTCACCCTAAACTCCTCCTCCTCCCCGCATAATCTTCACCTCCACTCATTCTCCAAATTTTGATAAACTTCCTATGTTTAATGCATTCTCTCCTTTTCATCTGCACTATTTCCTAGCTCAAATTCTCATCCACTCATAGCCCATTATATTAGATTCCTCACATGACTGATTCCCTTACTTCCTTATCAAGATCATCTTTCTAAAAAGGGGAGAAATAAAAGTAAAATTCTAAGGCCCTCCCCCAGCCAACTGAACGAAGCATCTCTTAGCCAGCAGGACCCTAGAGTAACCTTGAAAACTGAGCTCTCAGCCAGGACAGGATGGTATTCAGACAAGCCTCCTCATACTCCCTCCCTTGATAATGACCATTAGCCTTGCTTCCCTAAGGGCTAAACAGAAACCAGCCCTTCCTTCCTTCCTTTTTTTTTTTTTTTAAATGGAGTTTTGCCCTTGTTGCCCAGGCTGGAGTGCAATGGCGTGATTTTTGGCTCACTGCAACCTCCACCTCCTGGATACAAGCGATTCTCCTGCCTCAGCCTCCCAAGTAGCAGGGATTACACGCATGCACCACCACACTCAGCCAATTTTGTATTTTCAGTGGAGATGGGGTTTCACCATGTTGGTCAGGCTGGTCTGGAACTCCTGACCTCAAGTAATCCACCTGCCTCGGCCTCCCAAAGTGCTGGGATTATAGGTGTGAGCCACTGCACCCAGCCCAAACCAACCCTTTCAAAAGACCTCAAGAAATCAACCAGTGGAGGTGGAAGTTGCAGTGAGCAGAGATCGCAAGACTCAGTCTCAAAAAACAAAAAAAAATTATAAGGTATGAAGATGTGTGGTTTTTTTAAAGTAATTTTCTCCGTTTTGGAGGTTAAATCAACCAGCCACCTGATACGGCCCTTCCTCTTTTAGCCTGGTAAGAGATCAGTGACCAAGAAGTGGTTCTGGTCAGTCTGTGGAGCATGTGCAGTAAGGGTTTTCATGTCTTCTACTTTACCTTCTGATGTCAGGCAGCTGAAAACTCCAGGCTTGGATCATGCTAAACTGTCATTTTTGGTACATGGGACCCATGAAGGGGCATGAATGTATATTGCGCATCTGCATGATTCACCTTTCATAAATAATCATGACTCCTCCTCAAGCTTATGAAATATTGACATAGCCAACTCAGCATAAATTCCTGTTCCCCTTGCTCTTCCCTTGAAGTATCTGTTTCTGGCTTCTGGCTGGAAGCTATGATTTCCAGCTTGTCCGAACAGCGACCCTGCAGACTGTAATCCCTTACGAGGAATTTATTTTCCAAATTTATGAACCTTGTCATTCTTCAGTTGACAAGGTAAATCTAATTATGTTGCCCTGTTTGCTTAATGCTCTTTAATTCCCTCAGAAATAGTTTAACACTTTAATCTAATATGTCATGATCTTGTTTTTGTCTCTCTGTACACTCTTGCCTATCATGCCTCTTTTTCCTTAAGCTCTATCCATTTACATCATTACTGTCAAAACACGCCACTGCAGCCTCACATCTCTATGACTTTGAGCATGTATTGCCCTCTCCGAGAATCTACCCCTCTCCAGATGACCTATACATCCTACTTACCCTCTAGATCTTAGCTCAAGCATAGACTCCTTTGAAAGCCATCCACACTCTTCCAGCAGATATGGGTTCTCCTTCTTGCTTTCCCCTGGACTTACACATAGTCTTCCATTTTATTAACGCATGTCTCATTTCATCAAAATGATGTCTTGTTTCTCTTCCTTTACCTAGCTATAAGATCCTTAAGGAGAGGCACAGTGTGTGTTTCCCTTTTGTATCCCATGAACCAGCAGAGCTTCTATCTCTATAAACAATTGTTGAAATAATTTTTAATGAGATAATCATATTATTTTTTACCTGATCACTTTTGGGAGGCAGAATGGATACAAATGCATAGAAAGGATCTTGTAATTATGAACCTTTCACTGTTCTTTTGCCCCGAATGCCCTTACACAATCACTTTTTAAGTCATATTCCATACCCAAAGAATTACCAAGAATAATCAGACTTATCAAAACCCGGGAAAAAAGTGGATGATTTACTTACTGTTCTTGCATCCCATATAGACAGGGTCTTGTCTGCGGAACTTGTGAGAAGAGTATTGGAGAAGGGAAAAAACTCAATGCTGTTCACAGAATCTGTATGTCCATACAGCGTACATCTGCATCTTTCACTGTAAAGAGAGAAATTAAGAATTTTAGGAGTTAGTATCTATGCTGTCTATACAAGGCTAATAAAAATAATTTAAGGAACTGAGGCATAAAATAATTTTATTAATGGCAAAAAATTTACAACAACATTTTAAGAGTAAAATTCTACAGCTACCTTATATTCTCAGCACTTTATAGGATTAGCAGCATAAAACTAAACTTAAATTACCTTCAATTTATGGAATCACTTGGTAAAGTCATCTTTATACTATCACATTTATTCTTTACCATGAAATGACAGTATAAAAATTATCCCCATATGATAGAGGAATATGTTAAGACAATATTGCACTAATTCATAAGACAAACTCTTTTAGTCATTACTTTTCTTAATTGTATCTCAGACTTGGTTATATACTGGAATCAACTGAGGCACTTCGGTGGCTACCAGAGACTGGGGGAGGGAGAAGGGAGGGGAAAATAGGGAGAGATTGGTCAGTGGGTACAAAGTTACAATTAGATAGGAGGAATAAATTTTGGTGTCCTGTTGCACAGTAGGGTGAGTATGGTTAACAGGAAAATATTGTATACTACAAAACAGTTGGAAGAGAGGCTTTTGAAAGTTCTTGCCACAAAGAAATGGTAAATGCATGAAGTGATGGATACACTCACTACCCTGATTGAATCTCTCTACACCACAGATATATATTGAAGCATCAAATTGCACCCCCCATATGTACAATTATTAATGCACTGATTAATTAATTAAACCAAAAAGAAAAAGAAAAAAATACTCATACCCAGTCTCAAGCCCCAGACATTCTATGCCGATTGATGATGGAGCCTGGGAATTAATTAGTGGATTCATGCCTCCCCTGGTAATTATAATAGGCCTTTAGGGCTGAGAATTTAAACCAGTGGTTTTTAAAGTTTTTTACCCAGACTAGCAGTATCACTGTCACTTGGAAACGTGTCTGAAATGCAAATTCTCAGGCTTCATCCCAAACCTATTGAATGAGAAACTCTGGAGGAGGCCCCAACAATCTGTGTTTTAGCAAGCTCTTCAAGTGATTCTGATACATGTTAAAGTTTGAGAACCACTAATCTAAACTATTAGGAATGACCCAGAAGAAAGGGACAAATGCAGCTGTGTGTTTTTGCCGTTTTATGAAAGGGCTGTTTCTCGATGAAATAGGATATACACAGAGCAATATCACTCCTCATGTGTAATGACTAATTGCTCTTAAATAACTTTATTTATAAACTTATTTTTAAAATAGAGAAAAAATAGAATCAGGATAACTAATAAGTACTCAAAACAGAGGAGTCAAGATAAATGCATTCCTAATATAATAATCAGATAGTTGTCCGTGTGTTGCGACTCACACCTGTAATCCAAGCACTTTGGGAGGCCAAGGCAGCCAGATCACCTGAAGTCAAGAGTTCGAGACCAGCCTGGCCAACATGGTGAAACCTCGTCTCTACTAAAAATACAAAAATTAGCCTGACGTGGTGGCATAACGCCTGTAATCCCAGCTACTCGAGAGGCTGAGGCAGGAGAATTGCTTGAACCCGGGAGGCAGAGGTTGCAGTGAGCAGAGATTGAGCCACTGCACTCCAGCCTAGGTGACAGAGCAAGGCGCTCTCTCAAAAAAAAAAAAAAAAATATATATATATATATATATATATATATGTACACACGTATGTATAATATATATGTATAAATCAGATAGTTAATCTTTGATTAACTAGTTCTTCTGTGGCTTGAACCACGCCATGTACAATAATATAGTGCAGCAGGCAAAACTCTGCAATGGGAGCCAGGAGACTGAATTCCAGTCCTGACTGGCAAGAACTAGCATGGTAACCATAGAAAAATTGTTTAATTTTAGTGGTCGTAAATTTTCTTCTTGTGTGAATGAAATTATTTACTTGATGCACTCAGTGATCCTGTCCAGCTCCTACATTCTGAGATCAAACTTAGAAATGTAAAATGGGAAGGAAGAAGTCAACTTGAGTATAGCGTATATGAACTGTAAGAAGCAAAATGTCCTTCCTTCCTTAAATGTCGGCATTTTTGAGACATCAAAAAATATAAAAATTTGCATGTATACGAATATGTATGTAAATTATTTAGCAACACTTCCCCTTTCTCATCAAAGCTAAGTATTACAGTAATAAATATTTGGAGCAAATCAATACATCAGGAATATTTTGTATTAGTTTCCTTACCTCAATATTTCACAGATAGGCTGATAGTATTTTAACCACTAAAGTTGATGATGTGTACACCAGGGGTCAAAAACCATGATGCTGAACTGACTGCTTATTTTTGTAAATACAGTTTTATCGGAATATGCCAATCTGTTTACACATTGTCTATTGCTGCTTTCCCACTACAGTAGCAGAGTTACATAGCCACGACAGAGACAATATGGTCCACAAATCAAAAATATTTAACTCATAGCCCTTTGAAAAAAGTTTGCTGAACCAAGAAGTATACCAACTTATTTGAATATTTAGACGTATACTTGGGTTTTACTTATGACGTTTAATCTTTTTTGAAGGGAGCCCCAACACTCACAAAATAAGTTATTTCTTTTAAAAAATTACTGTTTTATGTACAAATTTTTTCTGCTATTTTTAATGAATCTAAAAATGTAAGTATGAACATTTTTAAAGTTTCTATTCCAAAGCCCACTATCTTGAAATAATCACCTTTAAATATTAGTATAATTACTCTAGTTATAGGTCTACAGAGAGACAGTGAGGTAAGGTAGGAGAGAAAGAGAGAGATAAAAATTAAGAATTGTATTTCTATTATATTAAAATGGTGAATTATTAAACTAAATTATATGACATTTAACAATAAAATAAAATAACTAAAGGCTTTGCTGAAAGTCAAGTAGATACTTTCTTGCTACAAGACAAGAGCTATCACTATCTAAAAGATATCGTTAAGAAAAATATTAAAGTATGCTATTTTAATAACATTTCATTTTTTAAAAGTATATTGAAAAAAGGAAAATAATGTATTTATATTCCTCCCACTTTCTTTTTACTCACCTCTGAAATTTAAAAAATCTTATTGTTAAATTTAAAATATCAAAAATCATAACATATTTTGATCTGTAATCACAAAGCTCAAATTCAGTGTCCCTCCTTCCCCATCTTCCTAGTGTTTAATATATGTTTAATCCTCTGCATCCATACTTTTAGACAGTTTAATGATTATTCAGTACTTCAACAGCAGTTTTCACTGATTATAATTTCTTGGGCCACCTGACCTCCTCAAATGTTTGTGGAGAAACGGTTCACTGTTAGAGTACTGCAAAGTTTGAGGTCAGTCCAATCTCTCCAATTATTCCCACCCAACCTTCTTTAGGGCTTGTTTGCTGTTTATGCCCAAGAGCCCTTATAGTTTCTTTCCCAAATACTGAAGTTCAGAAATTTTAGCACAGCATACCCTAATAGAAAGCCCCAGCTATTATTCCTAGACTTTTATTATTCCAGGAAAGTTTCTTCCCCTGTGTCTTTTTTCTCTTTCTCTTCAATTTAGCCCATTTATTTTGTTTAGAAACACTATGTTCTTTTTTGTCCTTCCCCTGTGTCTTTTTTTTCTTTCTCTTCAATTTAGTCCATTTATTTTGTTTAGAAACATTATGTTCTTTTTTGTCTAATTTGCCTTTACATTTAACATTTTCTCTACAATCCTTATTTTTTTCATTTTTAATATCTGTTCTTTATAACTCTCAATTATGTTTATTCTACTTGTGTGTTGGGTAGGGGGAGGGCAATCAAAAGCTTTTATTTCTGTTTTCTAGCTCACTTGTTTCTTGATCTTTCTCAGTCTGCTTTTTTTTTTTTTTTTTTTTTTTTTTTTTTGAGACGGAGTTCGTTTGTCGCCAGGCTGGAGTGCAGTGGCGGATCTCAGCTCACTGCAAGCTCCGCCTCCCGGTTTACGCCATTCTCCTGCTCAGCCTCCGAGTAGCTGGGACTACAGGCGCCGCCACCCGCCGGCTAGTTTTTGTATTTTAGTAGAGACGGGGTTCACCATATTAGCCAGGATGGTCTCGACCTCCTGACCTCGTGATCCGCCCGTCTTGGCCTCCCAAAGTGCTGGGATTACAGGCTTGAGCCACCGCGCCCGGGCCTCAGTCTGCTTTTCATTTGCATCTATTATCTTATAAATCATAATAAAACATTTTAACTCTTTTGACATTTTATTATATAAAACAATTTAAAATATAGCATTTCAGTAATTTCTTTGCAAATAGAGTGTTTTGTCTGAATTATTGATTTCATATCTGTACTTAGGTGATTCCTTTATGCACTGCACGTTCTTCACTGAAATTTGGGGTTTTATTCATTAACTCTTCAATTTTTGCAATTCTTTATAAAATCTGATTGGTTTCTTTTTATTTTGACTTATGAAGACAGCTATTGGGGGATGGCTATTTTCTAAAGATTAATGGCAAAAGGTGGGAAAATGGGAAAATTAATTGGCAGAAGGAGAGAAAGCCACTGACTTCTATTCAGATTTGTTGTCTCCCACAAAATCTTTTCACCTCATGTGCTGTTGACCTGATCCCTGAAGTTTATCTCTTCTCCATTTTCTTACTTTACTTTCAAGTACAGATGTAGTATGTTGCAATACCCCTAACGTCACAGGCTCTATTTTAACTCTGAATGCGCCTGCCTCCCTCACAACCCCCATTCTGCCTGACCTATGGCAATTTGCTTTATCTCTTTTATCTAACAATAAAAATGGCTTGTTAGGATTTATGCTTCCAAGTATGATAAAGTAACCAGTTTCTGTACTTCTTTTACAATAAGCAACTGTAAAATTACACACATTATCTAAAGTAAGTTTTTACTGGCATTGAACTAAACACATAGCACAGGACTATAATCTTTAAGAGAAGGAAAAACTCAAAATGAGCTCTGTAACCTCCATGACTTTCTGCTTGGATGCACTCTTTACTATCAAATACAGAAATAGAGCCCAGTAGAACTGAAGTTT